TTTGCTGATTGAATTAAGAATTTTAATGTTAAAACGACAGCAAAAAGTTAGTGATCAGTTTCTACCAATATTATACAAATTTTCAACAGAGAATAGACTTTTAACAAACTTAACAGAATAACAACAATGTACACTATATATATATACAGTTAATTAATTACTTTTTTTTTTAGTTTTTATGTTTAAAAAAAATTTATGCACTGATAAACAAATGAAGAAGTTGTAAGCAGTTTCAGTTTTTTATAGTATTTTTTACACTAAATTTAAAACACAGTAACCGGTCATCAATTAACCTTCTGTTGATAATATTCTCAATTTTTGTGTTATTTATAACAATTTAAATGGGAAACATCAGTATTGATCACCCGTATAACAGCAGAAAAAATATTGACAATTTGAGATGTGTTTTGAAAAACTTTCGTAGAGTTGGATAGATTTGTAAAAAAGATAACTCTGTGTATTTATCAATTAAAATACTACTACCACCAATGCCTCGATAAAAATTTCCATTAAACTTCTGTCAGTATATCAGCATAATGTTTAAATAAACACTAAAAAAAATTATTACTTTGCATTGATAACGACAGAATTTTTTACGACAAATAACAACAAGTTTTGAAAAAAAAACGTTAACACTTAGACATTATATATATTATAAGTTTTGCTGAGTAATTGTCGTAGGTGTTTCATCCATGTTTCGTATCTGCTCCATCAAAACAACCAGTGATATATGAAAATGAATACAAATACTTTCACACATAGTAATATCATCAATTATCATAAATATCTACTGCACTTAATGACAGGTTTATAAACCAATTATTTAGTTTAAAAGATAAGTATCTGCTAACCCAAACAAATAATTTATGTTACTGGCTGAACAACGATCACATCAAAGTCGGCCATTGAAAATATTAATTTAAACCTTTGTATTCACTGAAAGAACCGTACCATTACGTAGAAATTCATATTTTTTTTTCTTCTCTACACTCCTTTATTTCGTTCCTTTTTTGGGCTTATAAAATGCCGGAAAAAAAATTGGAAAGTGAATTTGCATTCAAATGTAGTGAAAGAAAAACGACTAACAAAAACGACTTTTTTTTAGAAACTAATTTTAGATTTATTTGAAAAAGATACCAATTACAGTTTAAAATAGCAATATCATTCGTACATTTTTGTATTATAAATGTATCGACCAAAATTATGTTTATCTGTCTGCCTTAACTGTACTCTTAAAACAGATTACTTCGTCATAAAGTTTTTATTTTTTGATCGACCAGTTTTGTTAATTTGAAAAATTCGTTAGTACACTTTGGGCAAACTGTTAGTTTTTACAGGAAGGCGACTGAAGGCAAAAATTGAATAATTTAAAAGTCGAAAAAAAAAACTTTTTTCTTTGTGCAACTAATGAGAACAACAGATGATGAACGATTTGGGAAACAAACAACATTTACTATAGTTCTAAATGAATAATTGTTACAGAAGACAGCCAATGGTTGAAAGATGGCCGACTGGATCGTGGCGTAAATGAAAAAAGTTGAAGAAAGCAATTCTGGTTTAGTCAACAGCGAAAACTTGTTAGACATCGGTGTAAATCAACATAGAGTACATTTAACTTAAGCTGAGTCTATGTGCGATCGATTGTAATGTGGTTATGTTAACATTATCGATGATGACAATATATGTCAACAACGCCTCCCACAGCCAAGAAAAAAAGTTCAAAGAAAAAAAAGGCAAAAAGCTAACTTTTAGTAATCTTTCTTTACATTACTTTCTTGCTCTATAAGCTTTAGTGGTGAAATTTAACTTACAACAGAAAGAAACGATGTAATAATATTTGAAAAAAATTTTTTTTCAAATATTATCTATATGTTACACTTTTTTTTTTTGTATATAATTGTCTATGCATATTGTATATTTAGACTTGTATCTTGCATAACGGCTAGCCAGTAATGTTAATTTCACATTGTATTGTATTGGTTTTAAAATTGCTGTAAAAAGCATAAAACCTGTCAATAGCAGCAGTATTAGCAGTTTTATGCTTCGGTCATATTTGCATATTTGGTGCATACAGATATATGCAAACAAACAAATAGACAAACAGTCTGTTGGACGTGCTGAATCAACAAGGGTGATACAGTATTGTAACCAATTCAGACGCATGATGACCACCATCTTTTAAATTAAAATACTTGAGTGCCCATTTTTAACCATCCAACAGGAATTTCAATAAAACCTTTAGCATTGCTTGAGTGTCTGGAACTTAATTTTTATGCAGAAAGCAACGACAGTTATTTCTGTAGTCTGACAGTCGTTTGTGATTTAGTCAACAACGAAGTCT